TGATGGACGCACATATACATTTGCCTGACATTCATTATTCAGCCCACTGACCGTGACCAGGCCTCCTGGCACCCGCCTTCCAGACCATGTGGCATTCATCATCCAGGCAGCCTCACATGTCACTGATAAGCTTCCTGGACCAATCCAATAAGGCAAGGAACACAGGACTGATAATTCTCAGGAATGTACTTTTTACTATAAGAACTTTTAACTTTTCTTTATTCTTTGGAACATTGGGTTTCTGCCTGATTCAGTGTTTCCCGATTAGCTATTCCTTTTGATCTCAAATAAATGCTCATTGCCTTTCACTTTGGCCTGTTGTTTTTAGGTAACAATCTCTTCACTGGTTTCCCTGATTTCAGCCTGATCCCTTCAAGCCACGTTCCACATGGTGCCAGAGTGCGGTGCACGTAGCACAAACTGTGCCCCTCAGCAGCTCCCCCAGCACCTGGCTGCAATCCAGGCTCCTCAGCTGGCCATTCAGTTTCTTAATTATCTGGGCTGCCTGCTGCTCCACCATTATCTCGACACATGCACTCCATACTGACAATTCCAGGTTACCACTAGTCATCTTCACTTAGAATACTCTTCTTAGCTCTGACTGGAGAACTCTTTTAATACAACTTCATGGAAAACAATTAGGTAATTCAAATTCCTCACCTTAGAAAAAGAAAGAAAATAATCCAAAATATGAACTAAGGTCTACACACATAGCTATTTACCCCAGCCTTATTTGTAATAGCAAAAAAAGTATGTGTGTTGGGAGGCAACTTAAATGTTCAAAAATAATCAAGTAAATTATGGCATATGGGATATTATGCATCCATTAAAAATCATGTTGACTAAGTTTTAAAGACATGGAAAACGTTTACTCTAGAAAGGACTTCAGGTGAGTTAGGAGATGTAGCTATCCAAAAAGATGCCATAAAAGCAAAAGAAGAAAGAAAAATAAGAATGGAAACATAAAACAAGGGAAAAGACAACAAAAATACCTTCAGCTATGAATGGGCATAAATTTGCCTCTTAGCTTTCTATCAACAAATGTAGAAAAAATCTGGACAGTATCACCATTCAGTATTCATGATATAAAAACATCCTCTTGCTTAGGAGAAATGCAGTTATTCTGTACATCAACTGCTCGGCAAGTCCCCATGGAGAAGATTACAAAAACCCTAACAAGAGACACAATGGCAGGTTCCCTCAGGTTGCCTCTTACAGTAATCCTGAATAAAACGGTGGCAATTACACTAGTTAACTCAGTTCTCTTATAAGAAGCTAATATGTAATAAGGCACATGTTTAGTTTTCTGTGACTCTACCTTGTTACAGAAGTACAATTTAGAGAAACATATACCAGGGTGCCAAAAAAATGTATACAAGTGGACACTTTGGTCAACGTTGCTCAAGCAGTAGTTCGCCATAATCAGAAGTGTCTGGACGCTGACGGTAACCACTTTGTAATTGCAGAAGTCAAACGTGACTTGTATTCATCTTTTGTTATCAGTTTATATTGAGTATTACAATTTTCATAGTTTTGTTCCTTTCTTAAAATGTATATACATTTTTTTGGCACCCTCTGCATTTCAGTTAATCTCCCCAAATAACGTTTTTGTCATATGGCTGATACACTTAATGAATTTGAAGTTGTACTCGCTGAAAAAGTACCTGGAGTCAGGCTAATCTAGCTAGATAATTAAAAATAGACTTATCAGAATGAATAATTAAGGGGCAGGAGGAGAAGCAGAGAGCTTAGTGAAAAGGTTACTGCAGAAAGACAGGAAAGAACGATGGTGGTAATGATGTAGCGATGGTAACAGGGACAGATATCATTCTAATAATGACAAGAGTAACATCACATTAGGCATAACAATAGCAATAATGATAAATGTAAATACGTATAATTGTCATTCTTTGTCAGGCATTGAATTGAATGTATAAAAACCAATTTTTAGTTAGCCAATTTAAATGAGATTCTTGAGTCAAAATCTAAGTTCCTCCATTGACATTTTCTTGTTAATAAAAGTCAAGCCTAAATTAAAAACAAAACACACAAAGCTGGCACCTTTTCCTAGATTCCAGAAGTTCTGGGGTGACTGTCACATTCTCTTCTTGTAATTGAAAAAGATCAAGGGGAACAGAATCTGCCCTTGGCTTCCTAGTCATTCCTAGTCATATTCTGCCTACGGATCCCTTCAAGATCAGGCATAGAATATTTTAAAGAGTGTATTAATGTAATTAAAATAGCACTAGTAAAATTGAGAATTGATTCTAAGGATCACAGATCTGTTGTTAAAGAAAAGTCATATTTGGTAGGGATGTATGTGCATGACTTAACCATGACTACAAATAAGGAAGGAAAATCATTTATTAGGTCATTGTAACTTGTGCAAGAGTTTCCAAAAGAGACAAACAAGAGAACTGAAAATATGGTGGGAGAAGAGCATCCTTGGGCAATATGGAAAGACACCCCACCCAGCAGCAACAGAGCAGAGACGGACCCAGCGTGTCAGGAGTTAGGCGGCCACAGAAAAGAGTATGAGAGAAGGAAAACAATAAGCTGGAACATTTTTTGAAAAGGTTTTTACTCCAAGGAGATGCAAAGAATTCTGAGGATGAGTCAGCCTGGAAATAATGGGAAAGAGAATCTATGACGTTCATAGGAGCAGAGGCTTAATAATACCCCAGAGGAAATTACCTAGCAAAAAAGCAAATGCCAGGGCATTGGTTTGATAACATCCATTAGTGCAAACTGTCTGGCAGAAACCAGCAACAGGCATAAAAATATCCTGATTTTAAAGTCAGCATTAGAAAAAATGTATGAGCTCTTCTAAGAGATGATATGTGTGGTGCGTCTGAGGTCACACAGTAATTAACTCTGCCCTGTGTTTGGTAATGCTCAATGCATTTTGCTATTTAAAGCAGGGCCCACAATAAAGAAATAGAAGCAGATGGACAGTAATGAGCTTGAAGCAAAAGGAATCAAGGAATGAGCTGAGAACCGAATACTGACATAAAAAAGGAAGGCTTGAGTCCAAACTGAACTAGCCTGGGGGAGGGGCTAATAAATATTAAAATGCAATTTTTTTCTTGGTTAGTATTTCCAAAACATTATACTGTGAAAGGAGATCTGGAATAATATACCATGACAATCTAAATGCTGCTAAAGCAATGTAATTTGTCATAATTAAAAATTGAAATCAGCCAAATGTTCCCCAACAGGGGCATGGTTAATTAAACTGTGGTACGCCTAAGGCTTGGAGATTATGCAGCCTATAGCAACTGGATGTAGTAACGTGGGATATACTCATGACAGAGCTCTAAATGAACAAGCTGTTTTGTACTGTATGTATTACAGGGCTAAAGTCATGCTGTATATAGTTTTAAAACAGATTTCCTTACATTTGTAAAGTTCTTTGGATTCTCAGAAAACAGTTGCTATTTAATTTTAATTTGTTTCGGATATATATATATATATATATATATATATATATATATATATATATTTCTTTATTAGTGGCAGCCTCACAGGGCTCTAAACAGTCTCCAAGGAGCAAAATAAAGGAAAGCACTTTCCTTGCATACATTTATCAGGCTTTATACAGCCTTTAAGGAAATCTGCACAGATGAAAGACTCCACGTTGAGAGGCTCTCTCGGTTTACATACTGCCATTCTATGCCAGTGTTTCTAGAAGTCACCAAGTAAACACCAAGTGTAATGTCTGCAGAGAGAATTTATGCATAGTGTGCTCATATGAAGGAAACTACGAAGTCTTTAGGTGCCAAATTTACGATTCTGTCTAAGAGATAGTCGAGCATCTATAAACCAAGGAAAGCAAATCCCACTCAAAGGCCTTGGCTGGGGCCACCAGAGTGCACTTTCCTCAAGCCTGGTTTTCCTAATGATCAATTTGCCTAAAAGCATTTCAAGTACAAGCCACTCCCCTCGGGAGTTTTTGCATTTACTCGAGTAAGTATCCTGTTTTTGTTTTTTGTCACTTCTTTGTTATTTTGGGATTATTAAACCAAATTCCTCTAAAGGCACATTTTATTTCTCTTGTATTCTAATATAGTTCTCAGAGATGTATTGTTTTATGAATGAATGGATTGTTTCATATTTTCGTGTGTCTTCCCTCTTTGTGTATTTTTTTTTCTACTTTATTTGCTTAAATACGCTCAGGATTTTTAAAGCCAATCTTTCTAAGCGAAGACCATTTCTTCAAGGCAGAATTTAATTTTTATTTTTAGGACACTTGCACAGATGCAGAAACACTAAAAAAAAAAAAGATTTTTAATTACAGGAGGATAGCATTTAGGCAACTTTAAAATAATTTAACTGAAGTATTTAAACTAATTTTAAGTGTATAAAAAGAATTCAGACACCTTAACAATAAATTTCAATTAGGACAAGGGATGAGGGTTATATGAAAATCACCTGTGGAGGTTTTCAAACTACGCACACTGGCACCTTCTCCTAGATTCTAGAAGTTTTGCGGGGGAGGAGCTGTCACATTTTGTTCCTGTTAGTAAAAACAAACACACAAACTAACTAACTAACCTAACTAACTAACAAAAAACAAGGGAAATGGAATCGCGGTTTGCTTCGTACTCATTCCTGACCATATTCTGGTTGCTGATCCCTTCATGATCACCCACATTTTAGATCATCCACTTTTAAAGAGTTCATTAATTTCATTAAAATAGCACTTGTAAGAAATCAAGAATTGATTCTGAGTATCACAGATCTGTTGTTAAAGACAACTTGTACTGGGAGCCACATCATCACGCTGTTTCATGAGATTCTAGTTCTTAGCAGTATACTTCCTTTGGTGCAAAGGGGATGAGAAAAATCTTTCTAATTTCACAAGACACAATGTTTTCAAGGAGAAAGGTTACACAAAAAAGATGATACAGGGACACAGAAACACGTGGGAAGACGGGCTGAGCAGGTCTGAGGCAGAGGACAGCGTGCCCCAGTGAAGCACAGGCAGCCTACTGACTTACCGGCAGGGTAAGATCCGGACAACATCGCTGGGCTTGTACCCTTCGATACAAACTGCACAGTTGTCAAAATCGGACTCCGTTTCCTGCAACCGAGAAACCCCAGGTGAGCTTACTTTCACAGCTGTACCTCTTGTGTCACACACCCACAACATGTCAAAGGAGAGGTGCCTGCAGCAAGGCTTTAGCAGTATTAGGGCCAATTTTCTCAATGATTTACTGCATATTGGCTTAGTTTCCATTCCTTCCAACCTCCACTTGTTGTTTCTGGGTTCCTCTACAAGTGCTTTTGTGAGGAAACAATTTTTAAAATGTATTATCACTAAACATGCTATTTATTATAATTAGAGGTGATATATCAAACACTCGAAGATGAGGAACACTATTTAGGGAGAATTGTCTCAATGATATTTAATTTACCCATTCCTTGGGAATCTAAGGTATATAACTCTCAAATAGTGGTTCTAACCTTTTCTTTTTCAAGTACATAGATCTCCTTTAGTTCCCCATAAAATATTACTTATATAATAGCCCTTGCTCTTTTATTATTCTCTGTTTAAGGGGGAAAAGTAATGAAAAAAATACTTTAAATGTAGTAATGATTTTAAAAGAATCTTCTCTTATTAAGCTCAATAGCATTTTTATATAGTTGAAAAATAGCAGCTCAAAATTAGCAAGACAAATCAATTATTCAGGATAGAGCCAACACCCAGTATACGTGTAGAGTCATGCACCCCTTACAATGACCCCAGCAGCCCCAAATCCATGTGTGCAATCCACTGTTCTAAAATTTCTCCTGGGGAGAAGTGGACTGCACTGCTTTGTGGTCCCTCCTCAAGATACACTTCTGCTTTCAGCTTTATGTCGCCATTCTACAACAAGGGAAGCTGTGGTAATGACTTTGAAGTTCTAGACACAAGGTTTAAGAAGCACGAGATATGCTTCCTGCATTTACTGTAGACTTAAGTAGAAGATATCATTCCGTACATAACAGTCTTCCATCCAAAGATTCATGGGAAAACTCTCTCACGTCATTAACACCAGCAGCAACCATTTTGTTTTTATCTTGTGGGACACTGGAATAAGGATACTAGATATTGTTTGAAAATTGCACATTGCTTCCTTCTTTGCACTGGTTGCTAGGAAGCCCCACCATAAATTTGGGAGCCATTTCTGTTATACATTTCAGATAATGCATTTGTGTACTAATTTCATTCTGGCTTCATCTGTTTTTTTCCTATACTTCCTTTTTAATTTCTCCTATTTTCTATCCAACTACTTTGCTGTCCTGTTGTATGCATTTTATAAACTGCTTTAAATTCTATTTTAATAATAACAGATTGGGTATAATAACCAGATGCCTATATGAGAACGATTAGCATGTATTCCCCCTTTCCCAGCTTCCTCTCTCTCCTGATGGGGCTGCCAGCAAAGCCAGGTGCTCCTCTGAATAGCTCCTCACCCCAAACAAAAGAGGCTGTTACCTTATCACCCTTCTTGATGGTCCTGACCTGGAGTTTGCTGATTGCTTTCTTTGCGGCATCTCCCAGTCGGCGCTGAAAAACCAAAAGCAGCTTGTTAGTAATGAAGACCTAGCATTCTTGACTCTGTTTCTGATGACCCTTAATAAACCAGAGCAGCTATCTCTGAAGTCATGCACAAGTGGCATGAATATTAAAGATGATGGCTGGAAGACATGGGGTAGTGATGTCTGACCAGAGGGGCTCTAGGAATTGAGGTCTGTGAGAGAGCTCTGTTATCAAGAAGGTCTTTGTGCCTAATGTTAGGCAACTGGCATATGACATGGAGACATCCTGCTTTGGAGTGATTTTTGCGCAGGTTACGACTACATAGACTAGCAAAAAAAAAAAAAATTAGTAATTTGCCCCTGTCGTCGCTTACTTTGTGAAATGGAGATAGCTAACCTGGAGTAGCTGGAATAAATTTTTCCTCTTTTTCATAATCGGGATTTACTACTTGTGTATTACTTTCAGCTTGGAATTTTAAGGAATTTCCTTTGCTTATGTAGACTCAATCTAGGTTTATATTTGGTCTGTACTGTTGCATCTCATCACATTCTTGCATGCCGATTTTGCCTCCTTTGTGTATGTTTAAGTGTGAGTGTCAATATGGGAAAGTGCATAAAACATACATGCTCAGTTTAACAAATAATTATAAAGCAATCCCCTGGGTAATCATCATCACCCACATCAAGAAATATTATATTACCCTCTATTTCTTAAAATAAACTTACTATTCTAATGAATGCTGCAAAAATGCAATGATAGGGCAATGAGGAAGCGTGAGAGACAGAAAGTGGGGAAAGAATTAAGTTTTAGTCTGTCAAGGGAAAAAAAGGGTTTGTTTCTGTGCTCATGAGTTTTCCACACGTTATATCATCTTCCTAGGTACTCATATGTGTACTATTTTTCTGTTATCGATGTGTATTTGCAGCATTAAAACATTTTTGAAGTACTAAGATAAATGGGACAAACACTAAAATAGAATAAGCATTTGCTCTCAGTAATTTTGTTCCTTTTGGAAATAACATTCAAGTTTCTTTCTTTTTGTTAAAATGGTAAACATACTAGTGAACAGTTAATACATCCTAGATACCATGCTAAAGCATTATATACGGTATCACCTTTATCCTTTCAACAACCCTATGAGAAAAATACTATTTCACAGAGTGAACTGAGACTTGTAGAGCATGAGTAAATTGTTTTAATATCATAGGCTTAATAAAAGGTCAATCAGAATCTGAATAAAATTAAGTCTGATTTAAAGCCAAAGCCAAACTACCATTCTCATTATTCACCAAACAACCACCCAATCGACCAACCTGCCTAAGCCAGCCAACCAACCAACATCTGCCCGGTCAGACAGCCAATTTAACCAACCAGCCAACCAGCCAACAATTGGCTAACCAGACACCCAACCTATATCTAGCCAGCTAACAAGCCATCTAGCCAACCAACCAATCAGTTAGCCCACCAACCAACATCTGGCCAGCCAGCTAAGCAGTCAACCAGCCATTCAGCCAACCAACTCACAAAACTGCTGGCCAACCAATCAAAAGCTATCAAGTACCTATCATAAGGCACTTCCCTTAACACAGCAGCAGTTACAGTAAATAACTAGAAAAGGGGATGTTCTCCTGGTTAATTTCCTTTTTTCTTTGATATTTCATTTTGTTTCTAAAATAATTACCAGCATTTTTAACAGAAAAGCAAGGTTTGGCTGTTTCCTAAAAAGAGACCTACATAAACCTGAGATTTATGCAGAAGTACCTGAGTAGCTAGCAAACTGAGGTAGCAAGAAAAATAAGAAGAGTCTATAATGATACGTAAATACCCAGGGAAACAAAGTGAGAAGAAAAGAAAAGAAATGAGGTAAACTAAACAGGATGCGACTCCTTTTCCTCTCCTCTTCTGTTATTGATTATCCTTTGATCTCACTCAATGCAAGCTGCTTTTTGGGGGAGCCCTTTCTAGACATCTTCTAGTAGAGAAGGTCCCTCTAGCCTAAACCATCACAGCAGCATCTTGTCCCTCTGCTCCGTAGCACTGTTACAACAGTTGCAATTTGCTATTTTTAAGATCAGTCCCAGTTACTTTTCTCTTGTATAAGCTCCCTGAGGACAGCACTGTGTTAACTTTGCTTCCCATTAATATGAATAAAACTGCCCTCAGTAATTGACACTGGATCATTCAACACATATTTCGGATCACTGATTTTGGGCACAGCTCTGGCACAGCTCTGGGTTTTGAAAAAAATGGTAGTGAGAAAACACACACAAATTCCTGTCTCTGTAACTTACTAGTGGAAACTCTATAAATGGTTTATGAGGGAATACAATCTTAAACCAATAGATAGATTTTTTTTTTTAAGTCTGGAAAACAACCTGACAAATTGAGCCAGTTAATGGGAAAATATGTGGACAAATCATAACTAATACATGAGGTTAGGTAAGCAGAGCTATGTTCCCGACTTTGGCAAAACCAGCCTGGGTCGACTAAAGGGCTGCTTTTCATAGAAGAAACCGGCAGCAAGAATTGAAAAAAACAAACAAAAAAAGAATGGAAAGGCATGGAGAAGGGGCTACTAGTTATGGACAGTGAATGCAATAAACCTGAAAATAGTATATTCAGAATAAGAAATCTAGACCTAAGATAAACACGACTTGATTGTTTTAATTTTAACTTATGAGCTCAGATATTTCTGCAATTGTGTTTAATTGGTATACTCATATACAACAGCCGGCCCCAATTCCATCGCTCAAATTGTTTTTTATTTTCAAAAGCTAAGCAGAGCAATTAGGTAGCAAAAATTATTTTCAAACAAGTGCCACAGATTATACTCAAAGGAAGACCAATGTTTTTTTTTAAAAGAGGTGAACCAGAAATAATGTTTTCAAAATTTAATTTAATTTAAAACAATTCTTTAGCAAATGAAATATGCTTCTTCAGTGGGAGCCTGGAAGGTAAATTCAAAGACTGCTTCCTATCTTGGCCATGTGTTTTTACTTTTGGCTATATCTGAATAAAAACAGGGTGTTTTTTGTTTTTTTTTAAAATCTCTTTCTCTCTTCCAGAAAAAAAAGCCCCCCTTTTTTCCCATGACCTTTTAAAGAAAAATGCAAGCTGCTTTTATTAAAAAAAAAAAATGGTGTGTCTCTTCAGGAAATGTAAAGTAAACTGACATTATGGTACCAGGGATTATGGCTAAAAGCAGAGTTAATGGTTAGGGAATTAGAGAAATTCCATTACTGGCATTCTGGCGACTGAGGGCTGAGAGGTTAAAGGAGTTCAGTGGAGGATAAAATCATTTGGAAGATGGCCTTCTCCAATTAGCAGAACCAACAGATGGAGAAATCAGATAATTCACATATACCTCTTTTGAGGAGAAAAATGATAGTGCTTTGTGCTAAAGGATAAGAAAGTCTGACCTTCCAGGGGTAGAACAGATGTTCTAGAGACCTGGAGAATACAGAAAAATCAGCTTCCGAGATATATATATATATATACACACACACAGTCATGGGACCATGTAGAGCTAAAGTTTTCAGTAGAAGTTTAGATGAACAAAATAAGGAGAGAAGCACCATAAAGTTTAAAAAATGCTATTTGCATGTAGTCAAATTTTGTCGGTATATGCCCATCTCTATTTCTTTTTCCTTTTTTTTTTTTTTTAAGCTGAGCCATCCTGCCACCTGTTGGCAGCTCAGCGGCTGCTCAGCTCGGGCTGGGAATCGAACCACTGTTGCTCAGAGCTCAAACTCTTGAGCGAGCTCTTAACCAACTGAGCCATTCGGCCGACCCCTCTATTTCTTTTTAAGTAACATGAAAATGACACCTAAAAATACTGACTTCTGAACAAAAACACTGTCTTGCTTTCAACAATTTTCCAAATAGTATTGTTGGATTTCCAAAATGCAAACTAATGAGATAATGAGTAAAAACATAAGCATTCTTAATGAAATGGTCCAAATAAAACAGTTGCTGTTTTTTGTATTTGGTCTCTTCTGTCTTTGGGTTTTTAACTGCACCAAGTACAATAAATAAATGGAGGTGCTTTGTCTCACATTCCTATTGCTGATTTTTTGGACAAGAGAGGGAAAACCACAGGCCCTGCTCAAAGTGAGTCATTATGGGGCCTGAATAGAGAATCTAGGGATCAGAACCAGGGATCCGTCATAAAACACATCCTTTTCTGTGTGGTTCTCAGAAATGCAGGGTAACGTGATAGAAACAGAAGACCTAGGGACCACCTCAGGTTTGTAGAGGCTTTTGTTTCATGTGGAAATTCCTCTCCCTTCTCCAAGGGGCTCCTATAGATTTTCTCTAACCCAACCAGATCCAAATCATACTTTTCACTAAAGATTGTCAGGACTTGGGCCATTTTAGTAATTAGATATATCCATCAATTTGATCTAAACAGCTTTAAGAAAGCATTTACCAAAGTTATTGGTTTCTTGACAATACTGAAGATAAACCGCTTTATGAAAAATAAATACAGAACTATTAATTAAAAGAATGAAGTGCTACATAAATGCCAACAAGGGATGACAGACTCCAGTTGAACCCAAGACACATAAATTAGTGACCTTCTGAATATTTAAGAAACTGAGAAAAACAAGACACTTTTCTCTTGTCCCCTTCTGTATTCTAAACAGAAATGCAGTGGAAGTGATAAAAATACTAGGAACATAAAGCTTCTGAAACAGCATCAAAACCAGGTTTATGTTCTATCTCATTGGATTGGATAATTCTGTACCATATTTGTCCTGTTTTTCTGACAGCTGTATTTTATAATCATGATTATCATCACCACCAACACCACCACCATCACCGCCACCACCACCAGAAAAATACCAAAGTATTCTTATGTTCTAGGTAAAGGGAGGACACTGTAAATGTAAACAGAGTTGCCTGGAACCTCATGTGGCCATGGGTGACTTAGACACTTCCCTCCCTCACTCTAATATGTAATAATGATCCTTCCAGGCCTGGCTGATGCAAGACAAATCTTTGCACAGTCAGTTCAGTCAGTTTCTATGATGTAAGTCAGCACTCCCCACATTCAACAAAATGGGCAAAGGTACTAGGCTGACTATATTCTGACAGCCATGGTAACCTCCTAGATCAATGACTTCAAGCTGTTTGTGCACACATGACATGAGGTACAAAAATCAGGGCTGTTTTTTCGTGGGAGGTGTTACTGAGGCGAAGGCAATGGTTTGGAAGTTAGAAGATTCAGCTTTTAGTTCCATTTCTGTCCCTGCCTAACGGTGTGACTCTGGCCAAGTCACTTAAACATTCTGGACTTCAGTTCCTCTTAGTAGTAAAATTAGTCATGTCATTTCCAGTTTTACCAGCTCGTGATTTTCATCTATGCAGAACAGAATTGGGAGGCAAAGATCCCTTGAGACCTGAATTAAATAAACATGGGTTCATGGCTGATGACCTCACTCAATACTTTATGGATATAACACACGTTTTGCCTTTCTGTCCCCTTAAGGGCTCTGCACTTTCTCAACCAACCAACATCTGACCAGCCAGCTAATGTAAAAATGCTGCCATTCTCAAAATGGCAACATAGGGGACCATTTTGTTTCTTGCTCTTTAGGACACAGAAGCATTTCTGCCTGCAGACCTGACCGTTGGTGGCTGACACTTGGTATAATCTTTTCCATTCCCTTTTTCTTTCCCTGTGAAGTTCAAATTTGTTTTAAATCCCATTACTTCTCTTGTTCCAACATAACTTCAGGACCAGTATGTGCAAATGACATCAGAGGGACATGAGCCATGTACGTGCAAATAATAGAAAGAGGTATTCACAGGGAGAGGTAACCCTTTCAAGAAAACTTGATTCAATGTCATTACTAGACCTCATATAAAACAGGTCTGGTTTCTTTGGATTAGCCTCAAAGGCACTATTGTTTATGAAAAACAAAAAAGAACCTTACTTAGTTTATCTGATCTGCCCATATTTGAAATAGCCGCCATCTATTGAGAGTCCTGTGGTTTTCAGGACACAGACCCAGTCCTTGTGTCTGAGATGGGACGTCCTAGAAGACAGTAAGACAATGTCCTAGAGCATCACCTCCAGGAGGCAGGCTTACCTGCCATGGCAGGAATGCTGCTGCTGGCTTTGCTCTGCCATTCTGCAGGGTTTCTACAAACAGGGTAAGATTTAGTGAACAGCAGCCCAAGGGGCACATCTGGAAAATGAGGGACACATGGCCCCCTAACCTCCTGGTGGGGAGTGGGGACTGCCCATAGTGCATGTGGTGCTCAGGGCCAAGTGTCTGCCATGTACCTGGCTCCCCACTTCCAAGTTCAAGAAGATGTCAACAGAACAGTTAGCAGTTGGGTAGAATGAAGAAGAATTCTTGGCCTCATCTGTGGAGCCCCCAGAGGTGGAGAATCTTAGACACTAGAAAGGACTTTACGAACCAATCCTACTTCTGAAGCCAAAGAGGGCCAATATTCAAACAGTAGCATGTGTTCGGTGTCACATGTACATGTTCGTTTTTTTTTTTTTTTTGTGTAAAACATCTCCATCCATAGGAGCTGGTTTAATAAATGTAACATATGCAGAAAATTAAATGTTATGAAGTCATTAGAAATGAGAAGGCAGCTTTGATTGAGTGTTGATATAAATTAATCTCCCAGATAAAGTGAGAAATAAGGGTACAGAGTTAAGTATGCTATCATTTGTTTAAACACACACACACACACACACACACACTCCACATACACATGTTTGCAGCACATAAAATATGTCTGGAAGAGAAGATTTTCCAGGGAGAGGACCTGGGTAACTAAGGGACAGACAGAGGAAGGCAATTACTTTTCATTTTTACCATTTTATACCTTTTGCATTTTATACCATGTGTATATATTATATGTTCCAAAATTAAGTGCTTCTTAAAGTAGCTTTTGTATTTTACCTCCTTTTTCCCCCCCATTCATAAGGAGGAAATCCTGGCTCTTCCCAAATTATGTTGCCACTATTAGCATCATCTTGGCTCACTTCCCCTTTCTCCCTTTATTATGTGCCTCAATAAATAATTGTCCAAAAAAATTAGCAATCAAAATGTGGGACAAAGCACCTCCATGTCACAGAACAATACCAGGAAAACATCAAAATATGTGTATTTGGAGAAGATCTGAAAAGCGATACAGCCAATATTAACAGTGTTTATCTTGAGCAGGGTGCAATGCGTAGTTTTGGTTTTTTTGTCTTGGCATTTTCTTTGATTTCCAAAGTTGGTACAATAACATCTTACTTTTGTAATAATTTTTACGTTGTTTTTTGTTTTATTTTTTAACATTTTGCCACTCACCTGGTTTCTGTCTCTGGCATTTGCATATCGAAACCTCTGGATATAATAAAAGACGAGCCAGGCGAGGGAAATGATCATCAGGACGATGAAGGAGATGGAGACAAACACAACTGACGTGCGGCTCACGTATTTCTGCAAGTTGCGCGTTCCAATTGTGATGTACATCGTCACGGTGATGTTTCTTTCCAGCAGGCTGACGATCTCCTTCCCTTTTGGCTCAGGAATCATTATGGCCACGATGTCTTCTACACCTGTTGTGAGAGGGGCAAGGAAGGGCCGATAAGGGTAAGGGGATAGGAGGGGGGGTGGGAATCATAGTGAAATGTCTGGACAAAGTAACACACAACCAAATAACAGGACTTTTGACAATTTTTTGCCAGATCTAATAGGTTAGGTCTAATGTTAGCTTCTGGCTGTTTAGACCTTAGAAGTAGACCTGAGTCAAATTTTCTCTTTCTTTAGCTACCTTAGGAGGCTGCTGTAGTTTATATGAGAAGAAAAACTAAAATGAACTCATAATTTTGGTATGAGTGAGGTCACGATCAAGCTACCCTCCCACTCTCTAAGGTGTTGACTCTGGTCTGGTAAAGGTAGATGCTTCCCAGCTAGTCCAAGTTTACAGTCCTATGTTGCACTTCACAGACACCCCTCAGGAGGGGAAAAGGCACTCTGTACCCCATGGCACAAAGGTAAAATGCACAGTTTTATGCAATTTGTCTTTGAGCTCTCTTTCTGCCCCACAGACACTATGAATGCTTGATTACATTTTCAAGGCCATTTTCTCCTACAGTGAGTTCCCAAAACAACCCAACATAGTGTTGCTTAACAGTAAGATTCACCAACATAAAATAATGGTCTCAGAACTACTTTCTGCTTTTTACCCAATTCAATGCAAACAGCTTGTATATCCTCATACCAAGCAAGGGGAGATGGAGGCCGTACAGATACTTCCAGGATGGTTTCATCTCTGCTCCCAAATACCCACCACAATGCCCATTAGTGGACCATCCGAAGCAAGGGTGGCAGCTTTCTTGGATCTGTGTTATTTGGGTCATTGTCCCTATTCTTCACGAAACTGTGAGGCACAGCCTTCCGTGAAGAGTTCCGGGGCCTCTACAAGGGGGTCTTTAGTTAAAGATATGACAGCAGTTCCAAATGAACCAACTTGGCATGTCACTGGGACTGAACTATGGGCTAGATCAACTGCAGCTCGCGAGCCATATGTGGCTCTTTGGGTACGTTCCATCTCAAAAGTTTGCCGACCCCTGGAAGAGCCAATCCTGTCCCTCACAACAATTTAAAAATTGTTTGAGAGCCATAAATATATTTTCACATAATCACCATTATGTGAATCATATCCTTTAAGAATTTTATAAATGAAACTATGATAGTTTTATTTTCATTTTCAATTTTACTTCAGAGCCACATGTACGTATCCAGAGAGCCACGTGTGGCTCGCAAGCAGCAGTTTGCCGACCCCTGGGCTAGCGTATCAGTGACATTAGGCTACGTTCTCAGAGATCACCCCAATTCAAATGTAGGCCCACAGAGCTCTTCATGGGACCTATGTCCACATGGAAATATCCTATTACCTGGGGTAACTACAAATTACAGAGAACAAATTCGCAACTAGGATGTTGTAGCTTCGGGACAAAATTAAAGACCGCTATAGCTGCATAAAGCGGGCCTTATTCACATGCTGAGGTCAGCCAGCTGGACAGAACTACCAGACTATGTGCTCGGGCTGTTGCAAGTCTCTTAGAAGGTTCTTAGGGCTTACACTTGACCTTGATCTCTATGCGGGTTTTCAATCATAAGTTTCTTGATGGTATTTCACTTAGGCTAAATAAATACTTTAAAAGCTAACCACATACAATAGTGTCTGTGTATGCTACATCAGTTATATATATTTAAAAATTCCAAAAATCTTTGCATTGGCCCAAGTGTAAATCACAAGGCCACACGTGTGTTTATATTTGGCTGTTATTTCTGGGAATTACTGAAAGTAATGGCTTGAATTTCAGCTTTGCAGAATTTACTGACAATTTCGATGTTCCTTCTTTTTTCTATGTTTATTTTGGCTCGTGGCTACATGTGGTCTGAGGTTTTGTGAGGGATTACGGCTGCTGGCAGCTTTTGTCTCTACAGAAATATGGTCTTCTTTGTATACTGGACTAAATTGGCCTGGGGAGGCTCGTCTCGGTGCAGTAACCATTTTATAGATATTTAAATAGTGGGAGAATCATAACTTTTTACTTAATCTATCCACTTATTTATATATTTTTAAGCATGTCTATTCAAGGTTCTAGAATAAGATTTTTTTTGAGAAGCGGATCTTGGGGTTATTTATAAGACTATACCTGCTCAGACTTGTACAAGTTTTCCATTTTTTAGTAGTCATAGTTTAATAATATATTCCAAGATGGCTTCTAGTTTCGACACTCCACTCAGGAACCTCTTCTCCACCAAAGATGACGGAAATGCTCATGTAAAATTGCTTTTCGAAAACTTTTGGTTTTACTTTCTGCATTTAAATATGGAACAACCTAAATGTGATTTAATAACACAACATATATTGAGCTCTTATAATGTGATAGGCAGAGAGGAGGCAGAGAAGATGCAATTTATTTTTCCCCTAAATTTTCAGACATATTTGGGTCTACTTTGGGATTTTATTTTACTGTAAAAGTGATCTATCTTTTGCTGAACCTACACCAGGCTGTTTTAGTTGTCTAGGTTTTTAACATATTTCTATCTGGTAGCCTAACTCCTCCTTCACTAATTTCCCCCTTAAGATTTCCCTGTTATCTACTGATATTAAGAGACCACGGCGCCTAAGGGTAAAGAGTTGGGCTCTGGGTCTCGACAGCTTGTTTCAAAACCTAGCTCAGCATTTCAAAAATAGGCAACCAAGTTTTGGATAGCCACAGAGTTCTCAATTACTCATCATCCATTTTGAGGAACTTGAGAAAACATTTCCTCTTCCTGTAGGGTAAACTATAATTAACTATTTTAAACTTAAGTGCTTAGTTACACTATCTGTATCACTCATACCACTGTTGTGTCTTCCTGATATATGACATCCGCTTGGAGAGACTGAAAATGGCACCTGGCCTTCAACCTTATTTATCTTCAATATTCATAATGAATTTCTAGGGCTGATGATGGTGTAAAAAAAAAAAAAAAGATGGGATTCTGATACATCTCTCCCTGCACTTTACGCTATGCATTGTGCGTGGCAAAAAGAGATACTGAGGGTATGGATTTATCCCAGTAGAAATAGTCATTAAGAACTTAGGCACACGGGGTATCCAGAAATGGTACAAAGTCCAGTGGATTTGGATGCATTATCTGACCAGTCAGATCAATGCACAAAGTCCAGAGCAAAAAGCAACTGTAGGATTGAATCTGTTCAAATGAGACCTGCACCAATGTGAGTTATCAGATAATTCCTTGATCTCTGCTTCATTTTGGAATGTGCAGCTGGTGTGTGTCAGGGAGAAGCCAGCAGAGTCTCCCCAGGGACACTGTGGGAGGGAGGGGAGGAGGAAGCAGCACTGAGGAGGGGACACAGCGCTGAAAGCCCAGCTGAGTGATCTCCTTCTACTGAAAGCTGCCCTAAGGATCTAAGCTATGACACACGGGAGGCTCTGAGCCCCAGGGAAGAGAAGTTAACCAATAGCACACAGTGTATGGGTGAAATCTACAAAGAGGCCTTGCTATTTGGGCAATTCTGTTTACTGTGCCGCCTAGTCACTCTATTATCGTTCGTCTCTTTTTGCAAAATTGTGTCAGCCTACCATCTAGTTTCCTGAGTGATCACCGTTAGGTAATTATGGTGTGTTCTGGAAAAGCTCTTTAGCCCAGTAAGAGAATGTGTGACCAGCGCAAATCTGACCTGGCCGCCAGGCAAACAGCAGGGGCATCCTGTAGACTTAGTGTTTCCTTTTCCCAGGACAGTGCTCAATTGCCATTCTCTAATTTGGCATATGCAGAAAAGTGAGGAATTGAAACAAAAGTTCAGAAAGCCAAAGAATGTTTAATAACCAGGAAATCCTTTACTTACAAATGCAAAACCAGGTTGTTTAAACATTGCATTGATAGAATGTCTAGAACACCAGCAGAATGCTAGACATTTTACAGGGCCCAAAGCCCGCTTCCTCCCTGTGCATCCTGGAGGGTGGCAACGTCCCTTCTGGGTTCACGTGAGCAAAAATCCTTTTTCAGTTCTCTGCATCTTCTCTCTCTCCCCTAATCTTTACTTTAGTTTCACTGATAGCCCTTTAGAATTTAGGCAATAATAAGAAAAGGCTGCAGTTTTCATTTACAGATATTTTCTATTTATATACTTATTATCTACTGTTGTTTTACCGTCAGCTCCTGATGATCATCTATTCTCATGTGAGATATAATCCATGTGAAATCATTTTAAAAACTGCCAAGTAGCATATAAATGCAGAATATTACCATTTTCTGCATTAATTTAAAATATATTATTTTTAATAACAATATAATATCTATAAAAAATATTTTAATGTTTTTATTTTTTTTTATTATTTTATTTTATTTTATTTTTTAAGCTGAGCCATCCTGCTACCTGTTGGCAGCTCAGCGGCTGCTCAGCTCGGGCTGGACTCGAACCGCTGTTGCTCAGAGCTCAAACTCTTGAGCGAGCTCTTAACCAACTGAGCCACTCGGCCAGCCCTAATATTTTAATGTTTTTAATAGGTGCCAACATCCTAAATAAAACATTCACAAATAGACTTCAACAATATAGTAAAAAAGTCTTTATGACCAAATGGGATTTATCCTAGGAAAGTAAAGGTGAATTAACATTCCAAAATATATTAATGTGTTTTAGTACATTAATTAACAAATTAAAGGAATAAAGCAGATGATTATCTTGTGTAGCTAGCTGTCCTCTAAAACCTGGCCTCATACTTCTACAGTATTAGTGTTTTAGCTGGGCACAGGCTATCCAGCAAAAAGTGTTAATCCTCAGACTCTCTTGCAGCTATGTGGCTTTCTGAATAACATTTCACTATTGAGATGTGAGTAGAGATGATGTTGGCTCCTCCAGGGTTTTATCTGTAAATAACTGAGTATGTGCACCCTAGATCCTATCTCCCCTTTTATTCTGACTTCAGATAGAGAAATGTGGAACAGCTAACTTCTTAGAGAAGAAAGTTGTATGCTAAGGAGGGCACCCATTCCTGATATTTACCAAGAGTAATATAAGGAAATTCCCTTA